GGCCCCTGTGGCCACGGGGGCGGCGGCTGCGCTCCCCTCTCTCCCACGCGGCGCGCGGAACCCGCCACCCCTGGAGCCAGGGAGCTCTGGGTGGAATCGTCGCACCCGGCGCAAGGTGGCCGGGGCCCCTGTGGCCACGGGGGCGGAGGCTGCGCTCCCCTCTCTCCCACGCGGCGCGTGGAACCCGCCACCCCTGGAGCCAGGGAGCTCTGGGTGGAATCGTCGCACCCGGCGCAAGGTGGCCGGAGCTGTCCCCGCCCCCGAGGCAGCGTCCGGCGTCCATCCAGAGAAGCGGCCGGCGCAACCCACGCGCGGCGCCCTTTCCCTTGTGGGCTCCTGCGAGGGGATACCCCGGCCCCCTGGGGGCTATGGGGGCGCCGCAAGCTCAGGGTCCGGAGGAGACGCCGGCCACGCGAGTGGGGGCGCTACCAGCCTGGTCCCGGCGTCTCCGCCCCAGAACCGCTCCTGAGCTTTGTAGATGACACAGAAAGTTTAGAAAAAGCCTCATTTTGTTCCCCCTCCGAGACTTATCGGATCGCGTCCAAGGGCACTCTCTCTACGCGCTGAAACTCCCTGTGCGGAACGCGGTGTTCCCACGCTCCCACCGACTCCGTGACTTTCCCACCTCGTACTGGTTTCACTCATTGTGCCACTGTCGCTTCCACTTTTCTTCTGCCTGCCCTGTCACACACAAAAAAGAAAAACAACTTTCTCTGTTTTCAGCCCAAGAGGTGCACATGTCTGGGAGCAACAAAAATGTAATTATTTCGTGGAAAACCAGTGATTTGCCTGGCATAGCTCAGAATTGACTTGCTCTGCTAATTACAGGATGGGTTGTGGTGAGGGAAGGGGAGGAAAGGAAGCGCGATTCTCCTTCTGGATCTAAAAGAGCTTTATCTTCCAGAGCCAAAGATCTATTTCAGCGCAAACTTCTTCCAAGGGTGTCTTTGACTCAAGGGGAGTGCAATCTTACTGTCCCAGCATCTTATCACCAGAAACCGAAACTAACATAAAAGCAGAGCAGTTGTCGCTCAAGTAACTGAAATGATTTTCCCTTCCTTTCCCTTCTCTTTTCTAAACTTTCGTGTGTGTGTCAAAATATGGCCCCTACTATTAAACATTCCACAGTCCAACGTTCAAAGCAGATTTTGTTCCCAAAAGCTCTAACAAGGAACCCATGAGATGTCAGCAGAGGGTACAAGAAAGAAAGAAAGAAAAAAATCCTCCACCTGAAAAGAGTATATAAGGAATAGTCATCTTCTGACCTTGAAAATAGTTCAGGGACAAGTCCAGGATAAAACGTGAGGATTCTAGGCGGTGACACAGGACACTTCAGTTAATATTTTGTAAAGCACAAATGTTTCAAAACTGCAACAGAATCGAATGTAAGGATGTGCTATCTTATTAAAAATATTCAAGAGCAGTCCAAAAACCTGCCTCCTGTTCTTTTCACTGGAAATTTTCATGAAAGTTATTTGCTTAACATTTCCTTGTGAGAAAGCAAATAATAAGCACGTTTTTTAAAAAAAAATTGCGTATCTCTGCATGGGAAGCTCCATGAAAACACTTGTATTTTTATTTATTGTCCAAAAAAATAGAAAGATACCCACTTTTTAAGTGAAGAACTGTAGATGCAGAAGTGTTTAAAAACAAACAAGCAAACAGATTTACCTGTTTATAAATCAAATCAACATCCAGAAGGAAAACAAACCCAGGGCTGTCTATGCAAACCCTGGTTCCACCTTATCCTCCACTCTATGATTAGTTGCCCCCAAACAACAAGTTATTTACTCAGGTGCTTTTAAATAGAATAATGAAGAGTATTACAGGGATGCCCACAAAAGCCATAGCAGAATAAAGTTTTAAAGTAAGCAAATCAGGCCAGTGCTACAAAGTTTAGTGAAATAATAGTAGGTCAAGGGCACATTCAGACAAGTTTTAGGAATTTGAGTCACATAGAGCTTTTGACAATGATCATGCACCATAAACAAGAAGATGAGTGACAATTTTATGTTTCTGGAACTTTACTGCCCATAGTAGCTACAGAAATGACAGACGCTAGTATCACTTTCACTTTATAAGTCTATACTATGATAGTTAAAGGTCATCAACTTCTTACATTTGGAAAAATTCTCTTTTATTCTTATAAATGGAAGATGGAGGACTTACTTAAAAAAAAAAAAAAACTTTATCTTTTTCTGAAAACAAATAAGAAAGAGTTAAATTACACCCCCATGCTGACACAGACTGGGCTGAGCCATTTCTTCAAAGGGCCCTGTGACTGGGAGCTCAGCCCCAGAAAGTGGCAAAACATCACCATTATTGTACTCATGGAATGACTGAAGGCGATATCACGTTTTTATCAAGTTAAAGTCCTCTAGTGGCTTCTTAGTGCCATTTGGAAAGACTAAAATCCTGCAATGACTTACTTATTTTGACCTCTCCCTCCCACTACCTCACTCTCCTCCCCCACCCCTCAATGCCCTATGAACTTCAACCAATGATGCATGCTCCTTCTCACCTCAGGGCCTTTGCACATTCTGTTCCTGTGCAGAAGAACCTTTTTCCTCTCTGTCCTTCTTCTTGTTAACTCCTTGGAGGGAGTCAGCTCAAAGGTAACTGACTCAAGGAAGTCTAATCTGTGGCCTGCCTTTCTAGATTAATCAGAGTCCCCTTTCATGCCCTTTGATGTCTCTCCATACCTTTCCTTCTTAGCACTTAATCATTTTATTTTTCTCTTGCTAGACTGAAAACTCTGTGAAGGTATGGACGATCTGTTTAATTCATTTATTTATCTTCGGCTCCTAGCATAGTGTCTGGAGTCCAGTAAATAACCACTAAGAATATGCCAAATGAATAAGTGTGTGGTTCGACAGGAACGGACAGCTCTCCTGCCTGGAGGATGTGGGCTGCAGGCCTTTCTTCTGGTTGCACCAGCTGCAGGATGGATATAAATGGTCCCCAGGGAATGTTTCCCTCCAATGATCCTGGCTCATACTTGTGATCTCCCATGACCTTTTATCCTTTCTACTCAAATGACGTGAACATCCAATCACATAACAAGATTTCTAAATATTGTCATCCATAATAATTGCCTGAGTTGAAACTAACCTTCACATAGCAGCGTACAAGTGCTTCCTTGGAACTTTTGAAGCTCTTTGATCTAATGTGGGCCATTAGTATATGTATGTCTTTAATGGAGTCCTGTAACAGAAACAATCTCTGAATCACAGTCCCCAAGCAGGATGATATATCTCTGGCATCACAATAAATCACAAAAGATTTGGGAATTTAGCTTATGAGAAAGTGTACCTTAAAAATGAAAATGTGGTTTTTGTGGAGGACATTAGGGTCATCACCTAGGGCAAGGCTGGTCTTATATTCCCTACCCCAAATCCTGCCCTGGAAGGTTCTGGAAGACCTGAGACTTAATTGTGTGTCTGTTGCCTCACAGAGCTGAGAGTCTAATGAAGTTGTAGAACGAGCCTTTTGTGTGAAGGAGCAGGCAGAGATTTCCAGATTTAGTGTATTATCCCACTTTTTCAGATGTAGAACAGAGGCTGGGAGAGAGGAAGTCACTTGTTCTTCGGTGGCAGTGGCCTCCCTGCACCACAGCGGGGCGCCAGCACCCTCTCCACAGGTCAGCAGATCCCTTAGCATCTGGTCCACACTGGGTGTTGGATCAGCAGATAGCAGCAGAAACGGCTCCATCATAAGGTGCGAGCATCATAGTCACAAGAGGATCTAGTAATAGGGAATCCTTAAAAGTGATACTGCACACTAATTTTTATACATTTTTACAATATTCATATTTTGACTCTTTCCTTCTTTGAAATCTGCATCGTACAACCACTGCCCCTGAGTTTCATAATGATATCTCAGTGAAAAATCTTTGTCTATAAAATGTCAGCACCCGTAGTATTGTTGACTCAATGATTTTGTTTTTATAGTTAAAAGTTCTTAAAGTCTAAACTAGCTTTATTTATTTATTTATTTATTTTAAAAAAGACGGTCCTCAGCAAAAACCTAGAGCCTTTTTCCTAGAGAGCAGCCTTACAAAAAATCATGTAGTGGGTGAATGTTTTATTGGTGTGAGTGGAATTGCATGCTTTTTTCTTTGTTTGTAGCCAGAGAGATTTGTTTCATTTCAACAAGAAACATTTTGCTATCTGAAAAGCTGCTCTCTGTAAGTTCAAAGTTATAAATAAGAGCAGTATTTTTAGTATTGAAATCTCCTGATGTATTTACAATAAAATTCTGTCTTCGGATATTCAACTACTAAGTTTTTTGGAGCCTCAGCTTTTCTCCATAAAATAAGAGACTTGGAATAAGAAACTTTATATTTATTTATAAAAGGCTTTACAGATCTAGGATTTGAAAACAACACATCTGTGTAAAAGGGACAGACACCTACATCTTGTCTCACCTTCCCACATGTGGGAGGAGATACTCCCTGTCCTTTAAATGCTGCTCAGTTGTGTTGAAACTCTGGTGTGCAATGCAGTCACGAAGCAAAGAGACGACCCATAGGAATCTCTAAAGAGTATCTATTATTACGTGTAAGGCACACTCACTCATCGAGTCAACAAATATTTATAGTCTCTATGGATGCTAGGCTCTTCATCTAAAAATTTCTTTGTGTCTTTGGGGACCCAGTAAATAAGTGTACTTCTTGAGGTTGTAGAGGAGGAAAAATAATTTTCCCTCTGCCCTTGTGAGTTTTCAGCTGAGACTCCTGT